TGACGTGAAATGTAAAGATTTTTGTTCTTGTATAATTATGTTCATAAAATGTTTCTGTATTTAACTATTTCCTTTTAACATCCGCAATTTAAAGTGGTTTCAGAAGAAGAAAAATTAATTGACTTGCACTTTGTGGCAAATACTGAAACTGTGTCTCCTGGCCTATACATTGAGATATTTCACCACCAGCAAGACAGCAAAACCATCCATTCGTGAATATACTTATCTCAAGTTCTTATAAATAAGTACTGAATCTACATCAATATTAATGTCACTATTACTAATTTAAAACATTAAATCAAACTGAAATTATTTTGTTTAGCTAAATTGCCAGCAATATTTGTTGTTCACACCTGCCAGAAGATGTAACTCCTGCTCCACAGAGCTTATTACTTTAAGATAATTTCAAAATCTTTGTTTTATGGCAGTGAGGAGATGATACACCCTTGCTTTCAGACTACAAAATGCCATCCTATACAGGTTAGAAAAGGCCTCTCAATAGTACCATAACTTTACGAAAAGATCACTACATATTGTGAAGGTTGAGGACTCTATGCATGCTATTGTATAGCTCCTAACCCTCATACAGTCCTGAAAAGTGTTTGCTATGAAGTGTCATGTTCTCTTCTCGAGTTTGTTTCCTGTGATAGGGGTCCCTCCCATTCATAAGCAAAAGATGATCAGCGGTAAGGTACAGTTATGGAAAGAACAGAGGAAGTCCTTAGGCTTAGTTAGCTGGTAACAACTAGATGCTTTAATCATGCTTGAAGTAGTTTTTGGGAAATGTTTGCTTTTATTATTATTTCATTTTATTCATTAAGCTGCTAATATGGCTACTTTTTAAATGAGACCTTGCATAGACTTTCCAAGATTTATTTACTTACACCAGTGTGACTATTTGTAGGGTACTACCTGTGGAATTTGTACTTTGTCAGGCTTCTAAGAGGAACATCAAGCAACTATTATTGCTTGTATCATTAAAGTATTTGGGAGACCTAGTTGAGTGCTCAAGTTCTGCAAACGGAGAGGAGAAAGGTAGTATTGATTCTGAGAGCTTCCAGCTGTCAGAAAAGCTGAATTTGTCTTCAATGCAAAGAAGAGTTTCTGCTCATATAGCATGTATGTCATTTGTGCAGTAATTGTGTATTACAGCAACTTCTGCCTGAAAGTTCAAAGACTTACTATCATGTAGATCACTTTTTTTTAAAAAAACCCTCAGTTTATTTGCAACTCAGAGTGAAGATTTTAGTTTGTGTTTAAAACAGAGCCAAACAAGCCCCTCAAATGTTACTTAAACTCTCTGATGAATTGGAACAGAAGACACTTTATGAAATGTTTAACAATTTACTCTTTCAACTGAGGTGAGAAAGCTTGTACTTCAGTTTTCTAGCCTTTCAGGAAAACAAATAATCAGGTTTCATATTTCTGACGTGAAACTTTGTAGAAGAAAATATTTACATTTTCTTTATCCAGAACAAAGAAGCAAAAGAGCTTTTGTCGTCCATATAATCCATTTTTAATTCTGATCCAAGCTGACTAAATCCAGTTACTTCAATTAAAATAGTTTTCATGATCAATTTAATTCCTGCTAGAATGCTGTTTTATTGTGGTTTTTTTGTAAGTAAACAATAGAGTACATAGAAACAAAAAAAAATGCTGAGAAGAGATGCTGCAAGGTCATTTCAACATTATTGATTCAGCTTTTATATGTACTCTGGACTACATGATTTTGGTTTATCTAAATTATGTGTAACATATTCTGGGCCTTTTGGATTTTAATTCTAAAAAAATCCTGTATTTGTCTTGCAGCACTCCCAAATATTTGGTTGGTTAAAAACAGAAATTTCTTTTAAAATCCACAGTGTTTAGTTGTTCTTAAAAGAAATCAGACACAAAAAGTTGGACTTAAAGCTTCATGTTTTTCTATGATTCTATGGTGTAGTTGCATTTTATTAATATTGAGAATAATTTTTATTAAAACAAGAACAAACTGCATAAGCATAGTTACATGTTTTCAGTCTATAAAGTTTTAGATTTAAGCATATAATTTGGAAGTCATTTGATTTAGAATGTAATGTGGTAACTCTGCCACATCGTCTACTTTATTGAATGACTTATTAATGAATAAGTTTCAGAGCTTTAAGCAGACAAATGGCACGTGGAATCTGGCTAATTCTGAGAATTGTACTGAGTAAAGAATGAAGGATCATTATATTAAAAATATCTCCACATAACAGCAGTGTTTCCCAAACTTAAAACTGATAAAGACTGTTTTAACATCCTAGCTGTTTTCTGTACTCCCGCATCCACTACTGGGCATTTGGTTCTGGGAGGCCTTGGTGGGAATCTCCTGGAAACTTCTGCTTGTCAGCTATGCAAACACTGAGGTTCTTGCTGAGTTGGAAGATTATTTGTTAATAAGCATCTGCATTGCTGTGGGATTTTTGTCTAAAGAGCTTTCCTTCCATTGCATTTTTAAGGGTGCTATAAACGGACAGAACTAGAGACGTGAATTATCATCATGAACCCTTCTCATCTAATGTTCTGTGAATTTATAACTGCTGTTTAAAGAAGATTTGAGATTTATTTTTAATTCCTGTTTTGCAGGGAGCATTCCTTTGCTAGAACATATGTCATGATTTTTTTAAAAAACATCCCTTTTAAATACGCCTGTCTGCCTGCTGCTCCTTGCTTCAACTCTGGTGTTACAGATGTGCCTCCTCCTGTGGTGAGCACTTTTGTTCTTAGAAGACTTGTGCTTTCTCTTTTTGGGTTTCAAATAGCAATTGAAAATTTTGCAAAAAATTAGAAATCCCTCAGGTGCTTGTATCTCGGATCTTTACTCACTAGGCAAACTAAATTTCCAGACCAAAAAAATAAAAAAGTGAATTCCATCTCAGGAGGCAGAGGTGACTCATTTGGTGGGACAGCGGCCAGGTTTCCATGCAGGAACGCTGCCGTGCACTCAGTTACCTCTCCTTATCCTCTTTCACCTCCTACTGCCACATTGACGAAGCCACCAGCTGATGTGTCCTTACTTCAATGGATGTGTAGCTTTGTGATTCCATGAATGGGCCTTTCTTTGAAGAAAGATACTTGAGCATCAGTCTCTAATTAAATTCTTTTTCATTTTTCCTTCTTAAATTTAAATATAGAAATAACCTTTCTCTTGTACTTTCTCTCTGATTAAATACAGAACGGTAGAGTGAATCCAGGTTTCATGCATGCTTGCTTATTTCTATCACCTGGTCCACCCAGCACAGTCGCTTGCCAAGGAGAAAGGCATCAATTCAGGAGGCAAATGTGCATTAGGTTTTCTTATTTAAAAAAAGAAAATCTTTCCTGTAACTAGAGAAAGGAAAAAGTGGTCTAAAGAAGCACAGTACAGACTGCTGAGGTAATGCCAGGCTCTCAGTTATTTAAACAGAGCCACAGAACTGGTGCTGAAACCATTGTTGAATATAGAATCTTAGAATCATTATGGTTGGAAGAGACCTCAAAGATCATCAAGTCCAACCGTCTACCTGATGCCACCATGCCCGCTAAACCCACTAAACCATGTCTTGAAGCACCACATCTAAACGTTTTTTGAACACCTCCAGGGATGGTGACTCCACCACCTCCCTGGGGAGCCCGTTCCAATGCCTAACGGCTCTAACAGTGAAGAAGTTCTTTCTAATGTCCAGCCTGAACCTCCCCTGGCGCAACTTGAGACCGTTTCCTCTCGTCCTATTGCTAGTTACCGGGGAGAAGAGACCAACCCCCCCCACCTCGCTACACCCTCCTTTCAGGTAGTTGTAGAGGGCGATCAGGTCTCCCCTCAGCCTCCTTTTCTCCAGACTAAAGAACCCCAGCTCCCTCAGCCGCTCCTCGTAAGGCTTTTTCTCCAGGCCCTTCACCAGATTTGTTGCTCTTCTCTGAACACACTCCAGCAGCTCAATGTCCTTCTTGTAGTGAGGGGCCCAAAACTGAACACAGCATTCAAGATGCGGCCTCACCAGCGTGGAATACAAAGGGATGATATGTCGCTGATTTCAGCACAAAGTTGTAGGCTGGTTTTGTACATATTAAATATATGCATAATAGCACATCTGGCAGGATATACCGTGCTTCTGCAACTGCAGATACAACTCAAAAGCCAAAATAATTATTGAAACCAGCATATACCCTATTAAAGTGCCTGTATCTTTTTTGCATTATAGTAGTGCAGTGACCTGGCGGGTTTGTGGTCAGTGTACGAAATCTAGCTCTCTCTGAAATGTCCTGGGCATGAAACAGGACTCCAAACTCTATGCTAAAGTTTAACCTGAGACTTAGTACATGGAGAGAATAACAGCTATAGCCCTAAGTCGATGTGAATGAAAGGTGTAAATTTATACTTCAGTCTTGTGCTCCACTGTGTGTGGGAGTTGGGTATTGAAGGTGGTGCTGGCAGTAGCACTGCTTATCTCCGTGAGGTCCATCTGTGCTAACTGCTGGTCACCTACTGCACTGTCGGCAGAGAAGTGGAAATGAAGGGGGAAGTGGGCAGTACCCCTCAGAGGGCATTCGAGCTCCACCGCTCGAGTCTGCACTATGCAGTCGGGGCCAAAAGGATTCAGAGATTACTGCTGGGATATAAAGTTCAATGAATGCCTTCATACCCCCACGTGACTGTGAAAGACCTACACACTACATTCATTGTATAGGCTGCTTGCATGAATATATCTGTAGGTATCCTGACACTAGACAGACTGTAATGGTTCCTAGTGTTCAGATGTAAAACTGTTGGAAAAAAGAGGTTTACTTATTTAGCAGTGCTGACCCTATCAGCTAAGTAGGCCCAGTTCCCTTTCTAATAACTTACGGTTTTATTAAGCTTTCATGGGAAAATGGCTAGACTTGCCACTAAACCCAAGTAAGTAATTGAGAGTATCTAATGATAGTACTGTGCATGCTATACTTAATGTTTTAAGCACACCCCTTGAGAGGAAAACTAACACTTTCTTTTCTTTCATCAGGCTGACTTTGATGGTGCTGCAGAAGATGTAAAAAGATTAAAAACAAGACCAACTGATGAAGAACTGAAGGAACTATATGGATTCTACAAACAGGCTACTGTTGGAGATATTAATATTGGTATCCCTATTCCTATATATACTTCACATTTACACCCATATCTTGATGAAATCAAGCAAATGTTATGTAAATCTGCACGATAATCAAAGGTATGCATTTATTTTGGCAGAATGTCCAGGAATGCTAGATTTGAAAGGCAAAGCCAAATGGGAGGCATGGAACCTGAAAAAAGGTGTTACACCAATTAAATTTACATCATGTAGTCATGTTTATAGGATGAGAAATGAGGAAAGATAATGACTCCTGCTTTCCTTTGCAGGTCTATCAAAGGAGGATGCCATGAATGCCTATATCTCTAAAGCAAAAGCAATGGTAGAAAAATATGGGATCTAGAATACTCAAAATAATTCCCACTAATAACTAATTTTTCAGTAGTTAATGAACTAACTCTGTTGTGAAAAATGCAATGCTAACTCCTTATTCTGTAGTCTTGAGAGTAAAATCTTCTAGGCATAAGCTGTTTGACTGTAAAGAGTATTTACATACATACTCTATTTTTAGATTGTATCTTATTCTAAATAAATTTGAACCTAATAAACTAACCTTTCTGTGAGAATTATGGATTTTTGTGGGTATTAAATTATATTTAGCATTTTTACAGGAGCACACAAACAGAAAAGCTCTAAAAGTAAAATAACATAACTGTCATTTTTTGCAAACGAGGTTATGGAATGAAGTGCACAGTTTGTGCATATGCGAGATGAGACAAGGGAAAAGATGACCCAAAGCCAATGTATATTTTCAAAAAAAAATCAGAAAAACTCCCCCTTTTACTGGATTACAGAGGAGGACAAAACAACTCTTATGCAAAACTGCATGCAATTGTACAGAAAGAATGACGTATTATGAGGTGCTGTGGACTGATCTTACACCTTCTGCCATTAAAATAGAGGAAAATACTTATAGACCAGCATTTTCTATACATCTTGTTATGTGTTTTGTCAAGAAAATTTGATTAGAGGGTTCCAGCAGATAAAAGTGACCTCCAGGAAGCTTGTAAAAGGAAATATCTCCACTTGTTAGATCCTGCCAGGCTGAAAAAGATATTTAAAATGTCAGAGAAATGTCAACTATTGTGGTAATTTTACATAACTACTTCAAAGTTATTACTTAATAATTACTTTAAATCCCATACTGTCATGGTTTTGGCTGGGATAATTTTCTTCCTAGTAGGTGGTACAGTGCTGTGGTTTGGATTAGTATGAGAATAATGTTGATAACACACTGATGTTTTAGTTGTTGCTAAGCAGTGTTTACTCCAAGTCAAGGAGTCATGTTCAGTTCCCCATGCTCTGCCAGGGAGGAGGTGCACAAGAAGCTGTGAGGGAGCACAGCCAGGAGAGCTGACCCAAACTACCCAAAGGGATATTCCAAACCATAGAATGTCGTGCTCAGTATACAAACTGGGGGGAGTTGG